GAGACCCCGATCCCTGCCAGGCCACGATTATGTACAGTTTTTGTAATCCACGCGGTTTATTATCGATCAGTTTGTAAATTATATATTTGGATATTTAGCTTCTACTATTATGAAAAAATGTTAAATGCATATGCCCCTCCCAATCAAATCCTTAAACCCCCCTTATTATCTACCGAAATGAATACGAAACACGGCAACAAGATGGAATTTATATAACCTCACAATGTTTCACACGAAATCAAATCAATGTTTAAGTTAAATAGTTTTAAGAACAATCTACAGGATAAGTCCAAAAACATAAAGAAAACGCTAAGCAACATGTGTAAAGAAAAAAAGATGAACAATTTACAAATAGCATTATAAACTGTACGAGTGCGTGTGTGTGTGTGTCTGTGTGTGTGTTTGTGAGTATGTATCTGCATAAATGGATACATAAATATATATACTATATATATGAAATAGTGTATGTCCTGATTTCCGCATGAATATAATGATTATTACAATGTGTATTATATCAAATGACGAATACTATTATAGTTACTGTGTGTAATTCATGCTAGAAATCTGCGTATGCTTAGGTGTGCTGTGGAAGTGCGTAGGCAGTTAATTATTGATGTAGTTTGTCCCACACTACGCCAATCCTTATACGTATCCTTATCCTCAACCACAACCCAAGCCACACCCACACCCACACCCACAACGCCACCACCATCTTTGCCCCTAACAAGATTGAATGTTGTTCGAACTTAATGATAAATTAAATGCAGAAAAATAAATGTTTTAAACAAAAGTGTTTCCTTTCTTTTGGATTCTCTGGTTGGAAAGTCACTGGTAGAAACCTCAGCTGCCTTACAGTTTTGGCCGCACAGATCACGTGCTAAATGTCACCTAAATTGCGTCACCAGGGTTTGTTGATGAAATGACTTACATTTATTTTGATTAACTTGAGGGCATTAAACCACGTTTCGAGGTGCCTTCTGTGTACAGTTTCAGCTTCGGAATCAGCTCAGTTATTAATTATTACCCGAACAGATGTTTCTTTACCGCTTTACAGTTCCATATTTCCTGATCATTCCATTCCGTTGGCTAGTATTACAGTATTACACTATTGCTCGCAGCTTTCAAGTCAAAGCTCTACAGTTTTTGAATCACTGGATCAAAGGAAATTACTGAATCTTTATGTTTTCTACCAATAACTAATGGTTATCACTAGAAAAGAGAAAAAAGTACAGCTCTTGTTCCCTTTTTCACCCATTTTCATCAGGGTTTCATCCATTCGTCGGTTGTTCCGACACCTTACAATTGAACACTCACAAGTCACGGTCCAGACACATGATTACGCCAATTAATTTGAACGCAAAGAATACCAAATGGAACAGACAGTTCACGCAAAATAAAGCATTAACAAAGCGATTTTTGTTCGTAAAAAATGAAGTTGTTTTCGGTGCGTGACAATTGCTGGAAAAATAAAATCTTAACATATTTGCAACGCATTTTTTACCAGCTTAAGGCCTGAAAAATAACATTAATCGTGTGTTTTGCGATCTTTAATGCACAAATCAAGTGCCTAAGCCCGGCTTTAACCGGACAGGCTGACCCAGCTACCGTCTGTGGGGCGAATGGAGGGGGTTACAACTCAATTTAACTGTGATTTAACTGTGGACTGTAGAACGCCCAAAATCTGGCAGCTCCATTAGCTGGCCTTAATTGTAAAATGCAAATTAATTTACTGCTGTCGACGATTGAAGTTTACGGATTGCTTTCGTTGTCGTTGCCCGTGTCGTTGTCGATGCCGATCTCGATGTCGGTGACGAGTGTCCAAGTGCCAGGTGTAGGTCATTGCGTTGGCGCTCTAATTGATGTATTTATCATGAACGCAATTATGATCTATTCGCCCCCCTCCCCCTCCTTCAGACGGAACTGCGAGTGGGGGAAATGCCCAAGAGAAACGAGTTTCTGCTGGGGCCAAGTGACGTCAAAGACGGAGCGAATTTGGATGCGAAAGTTTAAATAAAGAATATTTGGGCATGAAAATAAATGGCCTTGATTGTTGGCTCCAATAATTCGGGGAGGGGAGGAAAAGCTCTGCCTAAAGTTCAAGTCAGTATTCGCCCCTGCCCATGCCCCTGCCCCTGGCCCTGCCCAGCCCTGCTCCACTCAAATCGATCAATCCACCGAAAAATCCTCCATAAGCTGCTCAGAAATGTTAACTGGGCATCGGGCATGGGGTTTTTTCTCCTGTTTATTTTGTGGAAAAATACGATCATATGTGGCGGACGTTGGCTAACCATTAAAAAATAAATAAGAGTATGGAGAAAAAAGCAGAATTGCCGGCCATTCAGTCGATTGTTGTGTTATTGAGTTTGCTGTTAAATTAATTTAAATTTGCACGCAGCTGCAGTGACGTCTTGGGTTATTTCGTCGTTGGGACCTCCATAGAGTAGAGACGCCGGGCAACGTGATGCGGCCAACGTTCCTCATGAATAACCCGAAAAACACATTGGCGACAAGTTTGGTATTCGTTTTGTAGCGTTTTCGCCGGAACTGCGGTTCAAGTGCGTTTCTTGGCCATAAACTTTTGGCTTCTCGCTAGCTGCTGGAATTTTTGGCTTAAGCCCCGATCTGGTGGTTCAGGAAAAGTTTGGAAGATCTCAGATGGCGTGATGAGAGGGCCAGCCACCAGACATCTTAATGAATGCGCTAATTACGGACTAATTATCACGGGTCGTATGCAGAATTCGTAGATTGTGAATCCGCCACCGGCGTTGCGATGGGTATCTGGATATCTGTAGATATGGGCGCTGAATCGTATGCAAAAATAAAGCGTTTAAGCCAGATAAGATAAGCGAAAACGTGGCCAGCCAGCAGTGAGCACTTTGATCTCCTCTAATTAGCGCGGACGTGCCTCCGTTTCCATTCATTGATAGCAGTCGACTCTCTCGCGGACAACAAAAGAATTAAAGTACCAATTGATGGGCAAACGCACGCGCACAGATCGCTGCCCCCGAAAAGTTTGAACTGAGCAGTTCTGTGTATCTATGGGGCCCCAGCGAACGCCGATCATCATCGGATTCTCATCAGATGTACGTCACATGCTCGTCGAGTCAACGGGCCAACGTGACTATGGTCAGTTCGAGCAAGAAGAGATCTACTCATGATTCGACATGAGATGAGATGCTCTCCCGCAGCCTATTTTGGCCTAGCAACAAGATTTCAACAAGAAACGCTTTCTTGGCCAACTTAATGGCCAGATTATGAAATGTTTCTGGCTGTGAAAGTTGAGGCCCACTCGGGGGGAATTACGTGAAGCACTGGAGGTATTCCACACATGTCATGTGTCTCAGCCACAGCAGCGCTCAAGTCCGAGTTGCAGAGTGTGAAAATTGAAGACCTTTGAGCCTAGTGAAGCCAAGGTGACTTATTGGTGAAAATCTGCCAGAGAAATCGAACCACTGACTCAAACAATTGTGCCAGCATGTGATCAATAAATGACCAGAAATGGCCCGAAGAGGCAGATTACCAGGCGTCTAGAGATAAGCAAATGCTCCAAGAGATAGTTCCGAAACAAGGAAAAGTTTGGGCCGGTGGGGGAAGATTGTTTCTTTGGACTATTCGAGCAAATACAAGACCAAAAATCTGGCAAAGTATATCGGAAGCTTTGGCCAATGACACTACAAAGAGCGTATGGAATCAACATGTTGAGGTTGAGCCCTTTTTCGATCCATAAATCGAAACAATGAGCAGTCGAAGGATTCATTGCCTCCACCTTATACGGGTATAAATAAATTCATCGTGAACTTATGTTATTGGTTTTTTGAGACTAATCGAGCCTCTTTTCCACAGATGTTTGTTTAATTTGATTACAATAAAAAGCCGATTCGCTGTTAATCTTCAACCACAAGAATGTGGTGGGGCTGGGACCTCTTTTTGTTCGCATGTACTCGTAATGCATACGAGAAATGATATAATTTGTAATACCGGACTGGCATTTTTTGTAACCTTATTGCACATTTGCCTCCGGCCAAAGGCTTCTCTCTCCATTGTGGCCGTATAACGGCGCCGGCTGGAATTAACTTGAATATATTTAAGCCGCTCCGCAGTTCGAACCGGTTGAAGGAAGCAGCACAGCACCCAAAGAAGAGGCCATATCGGGGGTATTATGTGCTGTGGGTTCTCCGTTCACCCTGTGCTTCCTTCCCCCTCCCCAAAGCGTCATGCAGGCGCGACCAGACGGCGACTGTACAAAAATAAGTTAACTCCTGTTTTACCTTATTTGGCAGTCAATTGAAAGGGAAGGGAACGGAAAGGGGTTAAAGCTGCAACCAGAAAACGAGAGAAAGAGAGAGAGAGAGAGAGAGAGAGATCTACAGAGAGCAAGGGGGAGTGAAGCTTTTGACAAATTTAAACCATTATTCAGAATATACATATAGCTTCTGTCATTGATCAATCGATAGGCGATCGCGTGACCAGTGGACTTGGCTAAAAGGCCCTTCACTTGGGTAGGACTTGGCTATAAATTCCCAGCAGCCAGGGCTAAAAATAAAACAGGTCTAACCTTGAACGAGGGGCCCAACCAAGCCACATAACGGAAGACGCGAAACGAAGTCTGGTCCTGGGATGGGAACGGGAACGGCGCAGGTAACAGACGCTTTCTGGCTCTGACCAATTAAGTTTGAGATAAAAGAAGAGTCAAGAATCCCAGAGACACGCCAGCGACCTGGGGCAACAGAATATTTATTGACACATCCTGTATCTGGCGGTGGCGCACTCCCAAGGACATCCACAACCAGTCTCGGCTTGCGGTTCTTTTCCACTCTGAGCCGAACTCGGAGTGGCTATAAAAGCCCTCCTCTCTCAGCCAGAACGGCATCAGTCTTCCCCCGAACCCGGCAGAAGTAGTCAGAAGTAGTAGCGAAGTTTTGGAGCAGCCCCAGGAGCACCCAAAAGTCCTACTAGTCACTAATCCCCTTGATTGGGAACCCAGTGAATCCAAGAGCAAGATGCGTTTGTTCGTACTCGGCCTGCTGGCCCTGGGCTCCGTCCAGGCCTTCTCCGTGGTGAGAACCATCCAATCCCAGCCACATCCTCAGCTGGTGGCCTATGCACCGTCCCGTGGCGAGTTTCCCGTGGCAAGTGGCCTAGCCCAGGGCTATGTCCGCTATCTGGACGGCACGGGAGCGGAGCGCCTGCTGGCCTACAACTATCCCGAGCCGCTGCACGGCATCCGTGCCAGCCCCAGCCTTTTGCGATCTGGCCTGGCGGAAGAGCAGCAGGACACTGCCCTCTTTCGGGCCTGGTGCGAGCAGCGCTACAACGTCATGCGTCTCGAACTGGAGCGCCTGCGCGCCCAGGGACTGAAGCCCTCGCCCCAAATGATGGCCCAGTTCGAGCCCCTCGAGCAGATCGTCAAGTTCTCGGCCTTTGATGCAGTGCCTGGTCTCAGTCCGGAGGTACAGCGTGCCCGTGACGAGCAGTTGCGTATCTGGAACGAAGCGCGGCTGGAGGTACTGCGCGCAGAACAGGCACAGCAGATTATGGGTCACTACACAGACTTCAAGCCCCAAGAGAACATCGTCCAGGTGAAGACTGCCCAAAAGGAGGCGATCCCAGTGATCTACGGCCAGCAGCAACAGTACCAGATCAAGAGCTCCAACCCTCTGGTGGCCACGAAGACCATTGAGACACCGCAGACGCACTCCTATGGACAGTTTGCTCCTAGTCCGCAGAACCCGTTCCTGTTGAAGGCTGCTACGACTCCCGTATACACTGGCCCCACCAATGAGGCACCCCATCCTGTGGAGGAAACCCCAGAGGTGAAGCTGGCCCGCGAGGAGCATCTCAAGCAGTTCAACGAGGCCCTGCTCCGTCAACCTGCCCCTGCGCCCGAGACTCCCATACTAAAGACCATTCCTGGCATTCAGCAGCCGCAACCCATCGCCACCTATCCTCAGGCCACTATCAAGACAGTAACCTATGGGGATCAGCAGGTCCCACAACCCGTGGAGGAGACCCAGGAGGTGACGCTGGCCCGGGAAGAGCATCTCAAGCAGTTCAACGAAGCTCTGCTCCGCCAACCTGCCGATGAACCCATTCTTAAGACCACACCAGTACTGCAGCAGAATCTTTTCACTCCTTCCCACGCCAGCATTCAGACCATTCAGTCACCTCAACCTGTGGAGGAGACTCCGGAGGTGAAGTTGGCCCGGGAAGAGCATCTCAAGCAGTTCAACGAGGCCATTCTCAGACAACCCATTGATGTTCAGCAGCAGCCGCTGATACCGATTGCGCCCTTTGCTCCTTTGCCAAATTTGAAGGTTGGCCTCGTCCAGGGACCCCAGCCAATCCAGGACACTCCCGAAGTTATTCGGGCCCGCGAGCAGCACCTCATCCTGCTTGGCCAGGCCAAGCTGAAGGCCGAGGACAAAGTGGCCGATATCGAGGACCTGATTCGCCTCGAGGAGCGCGAGCGGGACAACGAGAAGCTGCGGGAAAAGGAGCGGCAAGAGATGGAGCAGAAGGAGGCTGCACTGGAGCAGTTGCGGGAACAGGAACGCCTCATCCAGGAGACGCGCCTCCTCGAGACCGAACGTCTCAAGATCGAGGAAGAAGACCGCCAGCGGCTGTACTCCGAGCGGGAGGCTGAGCAGCAGGAGCTGAAAAGCACCAACTATGAGACGGAGACTCCCGCCGACAGCTCCCTTCCCATCTTCCTGAATGTCGGTGCCGGTGCCGATGCCGCGCAGGGTAACATCAAGATCCTGGCCTCCCAGCCAGCTCCTGCTCCAGCACAGCCGCAAGGACAGACCATCAGCCAGCAGCAGTCGGTCCAGAACGGATTCTTCCTGCGCATCCATACGAATCAGCCCAATGCCATCCAGAGCTCCACGGCACCAATCAGTGGTCCATCGATTGTCTATACGGACAAGGGACTGGGAAATCCTTTCCTGGTTCGCTACACCGAACAGTTACAGCAGCCACTCCAGGTCCTCCCATCCTCCTCGATTCCTATCGCGAGTACTGGAGCCAGCGAACTGGAGCTGGCCACCCGGGAACACCTGCGTGCCCATGAGATCGCGCTGGAGCAGCTGCGTCTGGCCAATCTGGGGAATCCCTGGAACCCCGACTGTGACCACTGAGAAGCGAGATGATCCTTAAGAGACCCCCTACCAAACCATCCAATTCGATTCACTTGCATTGCCCTTAGGATAACCAAGACACCCACGATATTCGCACTAACAGTAAAACCCATTATTCACACTCACACTGACACCCACACCCACACCCACACCCACACCCACACCCTCATACTCATACTCGTACACCTGCATAGCTTAAGCTCCCAATTCGAAATGCATTCAGTTGATATACAACGCAAAAACGAGACGTGAACCGTAAATCCAATCATCTTGCGGGGCGTCAGGGGTGGAGCTACAAAGGAAATGGAATGCCTGATTTTACAGTTACGAGTGTACTCATTTCAATTTCGAGTCGCCAGATTGTCGGACGATCGATTAGGAATGCGCATAAAATGCTCAAATTACGCCGTAAACTGGCACAGATGAAGATGTTATCTGATCTGATCGAGTCCGCACCGGATCAATCTCTGCTCCGCACTTGACGCATATGTAACAAGTTCGAACGGTACATGACGTGATGGTGCTGGAACCGTAGGATACCTCTTGCCCTGGCACCAAACACAGACACAGACCCAGAGGCCTACGGATCAAAGATGATCTGATTTCGGCTATAATAATGCACAAGAGGGGATTGTAAGGAAATCGGAAACTAGGCCAGATCGGCATTATTCATGCGAATGTTCCAAATTATAATGCTACACCTTGGAAAATGGGGCTGTTATTTTATTATTCACATTTATTCGATTTACATGGGAGAGAGGCAAAGGGGTCGATCAATTTTAATATAAACTTGATCTACTTGGCTTTCAGGCGAAAAATCTACATACCAAATTTGGTATCGCTAGCTGTTAAAGTCTCCCAAAGATCTAGTTGTTTATACCGCCATACCGGACAGACAGACAGACGGATGTATCTAGAGTCTAGACCGATCCAGCGGATGTCCCTGATATGGATTATGGGTCTGTTACATATACTCGTTCGCCCGCAATATAGCCTTGTGTTCAGCAAGTAGCGGGTATTAAAATGTTGAACAAATTTATACAGAACGGAATCCACTTTGCATCGAATCCCCATCCCCAGTTGTGTTCTGCTCTGCTCTGCTCTGCTCTACACTGACCTAGCACAAAACGAACCGAACCGTTAATCGCCGGTGGAATTGATGAAATTACCGTTGGCTGTCTGCCTACATACCCCTGCTACCGGCTACATGCTACCTGCTGCTTGCTGCCTGCTGCCTGCTGCCTACCGTGTGCCCTGCCTTGATAAGATTTCCCTAACGATTGCGTGGCGTATGAGTAATAACAGCAAAGTGCAGGGAAAGTGACTAATGAAAGATGTTCTACAAACTGCCATATATGGCCAAGAGCAATACGATCATACGAAGATACGACGATTGGGCGGATGCAGAGAGCACAGCATGTGACAGCATGTAGATAAGGTACAGGTTACAGAGGAACTTGTCAGGAAATAGCGATGGTTCTGCGTCTTCTAAGACCAAAGTTCATCGGCATGAATCACGCGGGGGTTGGGAGAGATTGCTGAAGTCTCATGATGAATGCCTGTCAGGGTACAAAGTCTACCTTGGATTCAGGTGATTTCGGCTCGGTTTGAGTTCTCTGCCACCCCCCACAAAACGTTATCTGTCCGTAATCGAATCAATCCCACTGATTGAACCCATACTGGGATGTGATATGGCTGATGCAACTTTCGGTTTTGCCACAGCCAGACATCGCCCGACATCGCCAGACATCGTCAGACAATGGGGTTATGCGAGGGCCTTTGATTAGCTCCCAATTCGGCCTTGTTCAATGGGATTTGGGGCATTCCATGCCGGGCCAAGTGCGCAGTTTCTTTTGGGTGCGAATTGTATCTATGTATATATTTATAGAGACCGGCGAAACCGCTCCGCCAATTTTCGATCTTGTGTTTACATTTCGAGTACACAGCAGCCCCACAATGGAACAATGTACGGGGAAGTGATTGGCAAAATCACCTTTCGAATCGAATTCGCAGAAAAAGGAAATATTTCTGGCATTTCTGTCCAACAAAATGTGGGAAAAGAATCTCTAGAACAAATAAATATATTTGAGGGGATTTCTTCAAGTTAAATTAGATTTTCCCACTCATAATCTATAATTCTTCGAACTATTGAACGATATTTATGGCTAGAAAGTAATATTTACTTAACATAACAAGGGAATTTTTCTGTTTCGAGGTGTTAGTTTACTTGGAATCGTAATTTCTTTCTCTATGGTTCGTATTATCATCTGAAGATGTATTCTTCTGAAAACTTTCCTGTTTCCAGTGGATTTTCCCCTCCAGACCAAGCCATATATTATTCGGGCGCCAGTTGTTATACTCCATTTAGCCAGAAATCGCACTCGAATCGCTTTATACAATTAACGCGACGGACCATAAATATTGAACTCCCAGTTTTCGGCCACTTGCTATCTTGGCCGTAAAAGGCAATGCCAGTGGGGGAGTTCCCTCCATCGGAGCAGAGCTCTTGAGTGCCAGGCAAACAACGGCACTTTCTGTCCCATTCCCATTCCCAGTCGCAGTCGTAGCCGCAGTCTGTGCTTTTGTCACTTGGTATTTTGTTTTTCTCCGGAACTACTGATAAGAACCACAATAAGAAAACCCAGAAACGAACAAGAACGAATTTGCTGATACAAAATTTGCAACAGTCAAGTATTTACTTTGATATTTATGCAGAATATTTGCTTTCGTTGTTATTATAGTATGTTATCGTTGATATTTTTAGCAACGGACAGGTTATTTTTAACATTTCCCGGGCTATTTTTGTTTTTGTGTTGATGTTAATGCGACGCAGACGGTAATGAGAAAGACAATGTCAAGTTGGTGGCCATCAGTCCCACAGCAACGGGTTGCTATCCCTAACTGAACCCCCTCCTAGTAGTAGAGCCCAATGCAAACATTGTGTGGGGCCAGTGATTAGTGATAACGCTCTGCCCCTCTTATCTACGAGAAAGTGGGTCTCCATGGCGGAAAGAATGGTTCTCCTTGAATGTTGTTTTTTTTTTCGCATGCCTCAGGGTTAGCTATACTACATATAATTTCTATTGAGTTCGTCTGACTCTGATTCTGATTCCGATTAGATAAAGATGAAGTACGAGTATTTCGCCACGTTTAATGATCAATTTGTTTGTGCATTTATTTATAGTTCAGTGGAGCAGTGAATGTAATTTCTTTCCCAGAAACAATAGCACCGATTGAGGGCTAAAATTAGTATGGTGCTCCATATGGCCAATTGTTTTATTGTTACTTCCTTCCTCAATATAGTCAATGATACACAATTCGATTTGTTGCCAGGTCGCAAAATTTCTGGTCGCATTATTATGAAAGCCGAAACGTGATATGATAGTCACGCGTTTATGATTATCACGTTTTGCGATAATTTCCTAATTTTGGTCTCCAAAACATTTTATGTACATATGAAAGCGTTTCAGCTCTCGGGTTCTGGCTGGCTTGTTGATGGTAGTTCTGTACTAATGGAACACCAAGTCCCAAAAGCTCTATCCCGAGAGGGAGTCTGGGTTAAAGTTTCCAATCTAATTTAATTTTTATCCTAGATCTTTAATGCTGCGAAAAGTTCGATGTGAAATGCTCTTGGAGCTGTACTCCTTCTCCTGACGTGCTACATAATTATGTTGAAAATTATGTGTTTTACGTGGAAAACGATTTTCAAAACAATATTCCCAGTGGATAGTACTGCTGCAAAAAGTAGGAGTACCTCCAAAAACAAAACCAAAACCAAAGAAAATCCGCCCCCAGAACACATGTGATATTTCGTAGGCGCTTGTATTGACGTCACAGAGACATTTGCTTTCGTCACGGGTGCGTGTGGGCAAAGAAGAAATGATATACATCTGTATCTGTATCTACATACGCGCATAATTTATATAACTTCTTGCAGTTGCGTTGTCCAAGGAAGGGGGATTGACGCTTCTGGTTCTTCCTTCGTTGTTCTTGGGTTAAGTAAGCGATTTGCTCGTAATAATGTTTGAAATGTACATTTCCCTTTTGAATGTTTTTTGTTTGCCACATTGGTGATCTGGTCTGATCTTTCGATAACTTCATTATGTCCCCTCCAGATCGTAAAAAATCATTTTTTACGCTGCCATAAAACTCGTATTTATACACTCAATGTTTTTTCAGGCGTGTGTAGGGTTGGGGGTGTTGGTGGTGGAGGCTTCAACAAAGGATAAGCCGAGATTCGGCCGACAAGATACTAAATATGTATGTACATACTACGTGTAGCGGTACTCTCCAGGCCCTGACTCTGACTTTGACTTACGTGAGAAAGTTTTATGACATTGACGCAGTTGTCGCTGCTCTGCTGCGGCTGCGGCTGCTTGTGCTTCGATTGCAGCAGCTGTTTGGTGGGTGGCAATGGGTGCTGGGTGGGTGGTGCGCCTGCTCGCTACGTCGCGCTGGCTCACTCTCACTTGCATAACGGTACACGGTGGGCGACACGCTGTGCTCTGGATTACCGGAGCTGTCTTTCGATTTGCGTAAGCAGCCAAGACGCTGGTGGCGAACATGTGCCCTAAAAATCGTTAAATATTTAATATATGTACATAACTGTGTTCTGATCGACGGCACATCTTTCGTGCAAACGTGCTCGAACATGTCGCTGGCCGAGGCGTGAAGCACCTTGTGAACTTGCCCGTGACCACGACCACCCAGCCCTGCAGCCCCAATCAGTCAGTCAGTCGGATGAGGCTCAGGAGGAGTAGAAGGAAGGGAGGAAGAGGAGAGGAGGCAATCCCCTCCCCAATCGCCAGTAATCTTATCAGTGGTTGACTTTGCTCGGCACGCTTTTCAAGCAGACAAGAAAGAGTGAAATCAGACGTCGGGAGAGTGGGAGAGCAATCGTGGTAAAGATCAAGTTGTATTTTTGCAGGGTGAGGCATTTCAGCTCATAGCTCACATGTTTTGCTTGCTTGTATTTTACTGCTTATATTCGTTTCGAATTA